TGCCTTAAGGCACGATGCCATGCTCGCAACTAGTTTTTATGAAATCTTCAAAGATATCTATCCACGGATTTTTTGACAAAGTTTTTGCTGTTTTATTTTTATGAATTTTAAATATATCTATCCACAGGTCTACTTTTGACCTTTCGTCAAAAACGGTTGAATTGATTTCAAAAATTTAAAAGCCATTCGATGAATCTCACGATTTAAAAAAAGCGTAGTCCATGGTTTTAAGTTGATTTTTTCAAATTGAGTAAAATGTGTTTAAAAAAAGCATGTATAGTCCATAGTTTTAACTTGATTTTTTCAAATTGAGTAAAATGTGTTTAAAAAAAGCATGTATAGTCCATAATTTTAACTAGATATTTCCAAACTGAGTAAAACATGTTTAAAAAAGTTAGTTCTTTTCTAATCTCCAGAAAACTCTCCGTTTTAGCCAAAAATAATGAATAAATTTTAAAAAATCCAAAGTTGTAAGAAAGATATTGTTTGGGAATAGCGTTGATTAGCTTTTGATATAGATCGACCGGGCCTTTTCTTCGTAATTAAATGTTATTTTTTCAACGATTTTGCTGAAACTTCATATAACGATAGTGTTCGTAGTCTGAAATAACATACTAAAATATTATAGGCCTACGATAAGCGGTTGAAATTTAAAACATCATCAAAGTTTCTAATTTTGCCCCGCGATTCTAACTAGAATCCTGGCTGAAGCATATACTTGTACCAAATACATTTTTAGAACCCAAAACAGATGAAACAAAAATTGATAAAATATGAGTAAATAAATATGATTAAACGATAAAATATATAAATATTTGATTAGTTAGAAAAAACATTGAATTCATATCAAATTCTGTGGTACAAACCACAATGCAATCGCAAGCAACGTACAAAATATTAAGCGTGCAATTTTCATGCTTTGGTGAGAATAAAAATAAATATTATAAAAAATACGACAAAGCTGTAATTCAAGCAAAATTACAAATATTTCACGTACCTTAAAATTTACAACGATTCATTCTTCAATTTCCTCCTAAATTATTTATTACTGTAATGAAGAAGTTGAGATAAAGTAAAGTTATTTGCAAAAAGGCATTTATTAATAAATAGATATACACTTCTAATTACTTTACTTATTCAATAATAATGATTTGAATATGTTATCTAACCATATTGAAAATTTTCTATATATTCGAATGTTGATTGTTTGTTTTTTTTAAACATTTTGAAACATTTTTCAATAGATGAAGATTTTTACACGCACGTATAAGCATTTTATTGTCAGTGAAGTTGTAACAAGTAAGTTATGAACTCTTAGAATTTATGAAACGTTTTGGCAAAATTAATTTGCTAGAATAAATATAATTTTAATAATAAAAACTAACTATATATAGCACATATATAAATGAATTTTACTATGAAAATGTACTGCGAGAGATTGACCACATTGAATTTAGTAGATATATTGACAGTTATTACGATTTATCAAAATAAGTAATATATTTAAGGATCTATTATATTTTAACTATACATAGAATCATGCAGGGATAACTCTTTGGTTTTATATATAAAATATTTACACTGAAAATATGTACATACCAACGATTATCGATTGCAAAATTCGATACATTTTTGTCGTGACAGTATTCAATTGATTAGAGAAAAATGATATTGGATTCAATTTTAATTTCAATCTTCGTATGAAAATGACATTCAAGATAATCTAAGTCTACACGAGTTTTAGTTTAATTTATACAACACACACTCTTCTTTGGTCTATCATACAAAATTATATAAATATAAAAAATTAACAAGGTTTCATCACAAATGGTCAACAGTGATTATTTATAACGCACCGTTTTCAACAATGAACGAAGCTTTTATTCAACGAACAAATTTTTTTTTGAAACATTTGTTGAATATTAAATAATATTCCGATACAAAATCTATTCTGATCACTCCGTAAAATATCTCACTAGAGTAGAGTAGGAAGATTTATTTTTATCAAAAAATAAAATATGTTTGGCAAAAATACACAAGCCTATAAAAATTATTTTTAGGTTTTAAGGGACACAACTAGTGTGAAATTTTCAAAAAATTGAATTTTCAATTTTTCCATATTTCGATAGGTTATACCTTTAAAAATAACATACCAAAATTTTAAATCGGTATCTTAAATAGTTTTTAGTATAAGGATCATTTAATCTTTAAACGCGTTTTTCTTGAAACAGCATTTTCGGAATTTGCTGCAGCGATTACTCAAAAACAAATGATCCGATCGCTATCAAATTGTTTTTACATGTTCTATATATAGTTTTCCGTAGAATGAACTATCGATTTTTTGATCGGATGAAAAATCGAATTTTGGCAGTCCAAAAACGACCAAAATTTTAGGTAAAATTCGACTTTTTTTTTAAAAACGTCGTCATTTTGTCAATTTTTGGTTTGTTTTTTTTTTATCGTAGTTCATTTTACAGACAATATTATCTGGTTTAACGAGATTTTTTTTTTAATTTCATCCACGTAGAAGGCCCTAATCACTGCAGCAGTGAAGGGCCTTTGAAGATCGACGATAACTTCAAAAATATTTATTTTTTTTCTTCAAAAATTCTACTATGTATTCTTAAAACATGTATAAATATATTCCTAAAATTTTGAAATGATTGATGAATGAGTTTTTTTAACATAAATTCCCAAAAATCACCTTTTTTTAGGCGGTTACACTAGTTGTGCCACTTAAATAAAAATAAGTATCTCAACGGATATGTTTAGTTTTATCAATTTTATAATAGTTTCTTTATTCCAAAAATTTTATAACTATTAAATCTTATAAGATTTCATTTAAAATGTATTAAATTAAATAAAATTAAATTTTATAATTTTTCATAAATTATTAAAATTTATATTAGGCAAGTGTTTAACCGAACATAACGCTTTACTCTTTGTCCTTTATTAATAACTAATTTTAATAAAATGTGTATCAATAAAGTGGGCAAGGGAATAATTCGCAGCTACGTGTTTCGACTCTGTGCTGACATTCGTGTCCGTCTTGAAGAACCGTCCTGGTGCGTCTTTGCATGGAAGTTGCCCCACAAGTCGCGCTGCACGGCGACCAGGCCGACCAGGGCGAGAGCTTGCACTCGGTCACGCGATCTGGCAACGTATTAATAAGAAATGCTCATATGCTCATATTTGGCATTTGATCCCGATGGATTATGGATATGGAGGATGCTGATTGATGATATTACTTTGCTATCGATGAAATTAAATTTAGCTAACTAAAAATTGCTGATGAGTTTACGAAACAGACAAAATAAAGTATGATTCTTTTTTTTTGTAAATAATTTTTTTGTCCATGGTTTTACTCTGATATCATATTCTAATTGAGTAACATGTGTTCAAGAAAAAGCGTATATAGTAGTCCATTGTTCTAACTTGATATTTTCAAATTAAGTAAAATGTGTTTAAAAAACCGTTAACGAACAAAATAAGATATAGAATAAACGTTAAAATTAGATTAATCATAAATAATCATTTCTGAGAATTTTACTAAACGGACAAAATAGAGTGTGAAATTTTTTGTGAATAATAGTAATAATAGTCCGCGGTTTTGATGATATTATGTTGAAAGTAAAATTTGTTTAAAAAATCGTGTATAAAGTTCATGGTTTTAATTTTATCATAAGTTTACAAAAAAAACTCCAGATGTTAGTATTTTTATGGCGCTATTGTTATTTCTTTAGGTCGAAATTGAAGATTGCTCTCATTTTCATTTAAACTAGTATAGCTAAAAAAGTAATATTTAGAGTGATTTAAAATAATTTTTAATTAAAATAAATTTTGTAGAGTAGAGTTTAAAATCTTTTAATGTTTGGAACAAACATCTTTCTAGAATAAATTTTGTGATAGAGTTTAAAGTCTTTTAATATTTGGAACAAACATTTTTCTAAATACATGATATTTATAGATATTTCAAATCCTTTTAAACAAATGTATATTTTATAAAAGAGTTCAAGATGTCGAAATATTTCAAACTAAAACATTTCAAACAAAAATGATATTTATAAAGATTTGAAATCATTTTAAACAGAAGTAAATTTTATGAAAGAGTTCAAGATCTCTTAATATTTGGGAGTAATATTAAATAAATAAAGCAATATTTCTTGTAAAAGAAAATTAACGAGTTTGTACATATGAAAAATTTATAAAAAGTTAATAAATAATAGAAAAAGTGTAATCAAGTGGTATAGAAGTCCAAAAATTATTTTAATACTCGTAACAAAAAAAATTACCTTAAAGTATGTTAAATGAATAAAAATGGAATAAAATATTAAATAAACTTCAATAAAATAATTAAAAAATTAAATAATTGCCCCTTTACAATACATTAACAAAATTGTTTATATGAACAAAATAAATTGTTAAGAAATGTTTAATAAGTCTAATATAAAGCATTATTTTCATTAATATATAGATTTGTTCATATCGATAGCAAAGTAATAAATTACTAAATTTTATTATGTTATTACTGTTAGGAGTGTCTTATGAAATGAAGTGAAATATGTCTTTCACTGAATAATTCTATAAATTATTATGTCGTATAGGGTGATTAATCTATTATGTAATGCTGATGATTACGGGTTAACTGATCCGATATATATTATCTGTGATTGACGGTGGGATATATCTTATTCAAGCTTATATATATATATATATATATACATGTATATATACACATATATCATGATGTACATATATTCTCCACGGATTGGCGAATATAGTAGTAGTATCTATGTCAAAATAATTTTTAACATGATGCTCATAATTCAGGTGATATTGATTAGTGACTTAATCAAAATTCATGATAATGCAAAAAAACGGAACAAATTATCCATTATCAGTAGGATTAACAGTATTATCCGTTACCCGAACAAATTGATGAGTACGTGCATTATTAGGTTAGACATGATTGGTAGTATTAGTATTAGTGTAGGACTTACTATTATCGTGGGTATTAGCCGGTCCCCATGTGGGCATTAAGTCCTTGTTTTCGCCGCTCTCTCTGGCCCCCTCGCCATTCGGGCAGGGGGGCCTCCGGCATGTTCTTCGCTTCAGTAATTTGCTCGGGCACTGCTTGCCTCCGTTCACAGGATGCCTCTGAAATAAGCAAGATATAGAGGTGCGGTTATAGTAGTAGTATCTCTGGAGCTTACGACACTAATTGCGGCATACGGGGGCTAAGGGGATAGTTGTCTGAGGAATATAGCTGGGGGGCGGGAGATTGACGAAATATAGTTTCTTATATAGTTTTCGTATATAAATTACCGTTATGTATCTCGTCTTCTGTTTGTGGCCTCGTCCACAAGTCACACTGCATTCGCTCCAAGGCGACCACTTGGTGACCAGACACTTGAGGACACCCGGCGGCTGCTTGCTTTCCAGATATAAAGGGCTCTTGTCGTACCCAGTCAGGGTGCCATCCCCTGTCAACTGCGTGCCCTGGACAGGCCCGTACAGTCGACGTTCTTTTTTTTGACTGTCGGATGAGAGATCGCCAAAGAGATTTACGTCTGAGAAATAAAAATGAGAGAGAATGAATTACATATCAAAAAATAATTGGCAAGCATAATATTCTGAATATCTGAGTAAAAGTTATGTTTACAATAATTTTTAAAAAGTTTACAAAAATTAATTTGCTGAATAATATTATTCTATTAATGTTTCTCTTTTTCTATTAATTTTATCAATCACCATTTGCGTCTATAACATCTCCCATCGGTTGATCCAGAATATAAGCCGCTAATCCTGCAGCATGCAAAGAATGCACCAAAACAAAAGTTCAATGTATTGAAATGCAGTTCGCAAATATATTTATTAAATATATTTTACTTACCAGGTCCCTTCGGACACACCTCTTCGCATTGTTCTTTATTTTTAAAATTATTGTTGTTGCCATAACATCCACTATACATAAAGGGCTCGCAGCTTTGACGCTCAGAATTAAAGTACCAGCGTTCAACTCCTGGTGCTCTGCATGGTCCTGTATCCAGGGGCAATGTGCAAGGCTCTGAAAGAGAAAAATAACAATAATAGAATTAATACTATTATTATTAATGCATGTAAAATAAAAATAATATCATAAAAACTTGATTACTAAAAAAATCACAGTATATTTATATTGACCCAAACCAAGAAATAAACAAAAAAACTTTGTACATGAAACCATGCAAATTGTATATCATAGATCATAGTTTTATTTCATGTTATCGGCAATATTTTGTTTATATACATCACAAATTTCATTAAAAATAATATCAACTGAAAATAAACAGTATATGTGTTTATATAATCCGCTTGAATGTTTAATGAGTTACATAAAATTATTGATCGGTACAAATTACTATTACAACTTTGTATTGAATAACATGTTGCCATTTACTTTTCACTGGATTTCACTGGAAATACAGTCGACCATGTAATTTTAAATGTTCTTGAATAACAGAAATTTGTAAATTTCACCCTCCGTCAGTCGGATATTTTTTCACTTTCGAACAAACAGAGTGGTCTGGCTGGACCACCATTCATTTTACATGCATTTATATGGGATAAATGAGTTTTTGGTGTCTTATATGTTAATGATTATTAGTAGTAAATATTTATAGTTTTGATTTTTTTCTTTTTCTTACCGTCTTTTGCATGTGTTTAGCTTGCTTATAATAAAAAATATATATATTATATTATATTACATAAAAAAATAAAAAAATATAAAAAAATTGTTGCTTTTTTATTATTTTTATTTTTCTGTTTTATATCAATGAAAAACAATATTTATTCTTTTTCGGCTCCTTAGAAATGAATGTGAAATTCAAATGAAAATGAAATGAGGTGCGTCGCCTTTCGCTACAGGTTTGCCAAAAAAAATTTCGAACGCAGTACGAGTAGAAAAATTGTTGATAATGTGCGCAACACTCATTCGATTTTCAATATTTGCGATGACCAATAAGTTTGGTAGGTTTTCAAAGAACTCTCGTCGTGAAAATACTAACATTCATGTTACAGCACATATAAAAAATGCACATATATAAAATGCAGTTTGAATAGAAAATACCAGAAAAAAAAAACAAAATGCTGGTTTACATATAATATATCAAAAAGCGTATATTTCATACAAAATGTATGGGTGGTCTAAACAGACCACTCCGACCGTTCAAAGTATAAAAAAGTTAATATCCTTATAATTATCCTTCTGTACATTTTTTGGTCCTGATTTTTTCATTGATCGACAGCTAATGAAATTTTAGCAAAAGTCAAGAAATTTCAAGTCGATAGGGTAACTAGAAGTATTTTTTTTTAATTGAAGTCGAAAAAAGTCTGGCCAGACCACGCCGACCGACGGAAGGTTAATCAATTTGATTTTTGGAAATAAAGAGTTCTAGCATCAAACAAGTTATAATTTTGGATTCAAAAAAAATATCTTGATTGCACATTTGTGCAATTAGTTTAAATTAAACTCATCAAATTATGTCAATTTATAGCAGAATTTAATATTGGATTTTACCTTTCAAATGTGGAGGTAGCGATTCGCACGAAGCAATAGGAGCAACACAAGTAACCTGCTGCACCCTAAGTACTCCTTCACATGCAGCCACACTAATTTCATCCTCTTCATCTTCGTCATTATCCTGGTCATTATCCTCGTCTTGTGGAGTCTCGTCATAATTCGCTTCATTTGAGTTCTGGTCCCAATGTTGTGCCTGATAAGCGCAAAAACATTATTTTCAAACTGAGATTAAAAGTTATAATTGGAGTAGAGAATTATGATGGAGTACGTCAATTACTCACTCGATATTGATGCGTGAGTCCTCGTTTGTAAAAGTTGCGAAGTTGCTCTGTCGGAGCTATGGGATATCTGCTGCGCATTCGGTGACCTTTTCCGCAGGTTGCGGAGCAGGGAGACCAAGTGGACCACATGGTCATTGGGCAACCTGGAGGGACTTCGAGTGTCTGAAAATAGAAAAAAATACTGCAAATATCCAAAATTGTATATTATCAAAGCAACAATAATACAATATTAAAAAAATAATTTATCATATCCACGTTTTTAACTTCTCGAAGGAGAAGTTTATGTTTTCATCAAAAAATCCGATTTGCTAATTTCATGTTTTCTCGACGTTTCAAGTCATTCTGAATCGAATGAGACCAAATTTGGGAAAAGTATGTGTGTGTGTGTGTGTGTGTGAATAGATTTTTTGCCGTAAATCGACATTTTCTCAAAAACGGCTGGACCGATTTCAAAAATTTAAAAACCATTCGATGTATCTCGATGAGGATTATTGTTTGTCAGTTTTGTGCAACGATCGGCCAAGCCGTTTTCTTATAAATTGCAGAAAAGTGAAAAAAAATTCGTCCACGTTTTAGCCCGCAATTCTGAATCGATTTTGAAAATTCAGAAAAAGTTCGAAAGATATTGGTTGGGAATCGTGCTGATTAGATTTTACTAGAGATCGGCCGGGCCGTTTTCTTGTAATAACGTGTTAAAAATTTCGACGATTTTTTTTATTATTTTTTGACGGTAGGTACCATAGTCTTATAGATCATACTAAAATATCACGGCCCTACGACAAGTCGTTTAATTTTAAAAATTTGTCAAAGTTGTCAAAATTTAGTATCGTTTTTTTGGCATTTGTCAAAATTAGACTTTTGATCGACGATTTATCAAAAACGCCTGAACCGATTTCAAAAATCTAAGAGCCATTTGATGTATCTCAATGAGGACTATCGTTCGTCAGTTTTGTGCGGCGATCTGCCTGTTTCTTTGTAATTTGGAAATAAGGGATAAACCTTTCGTCCACATTTAAGCTCATACTACCGAATCGATTTTAAAAAATCAAAAACTGTTCGAAAGATATTAGTTGGGAATAGTACTGATTAGTTTTAGGGGAAAATCTACCTAACCGTTTTCTTGTAATTAACTGTTGAAAAAGAAATTTAAGTCGATTTTCATGGAACTTTTTTTGGTGATATATATCATGGCCTTATAGAACCTACTGAAATATTACGGCCTTACGACAAGTAGTTTAATTTTAAAAATTCATCAAAGTTTGAGAAAATGAGTGAGTTTGTTTGACGTTTGTTAAAATTAAAATTAGACGATTTACTTGGTATAACAATAAAGTACTTGATCTTAATGAACATACTAAATTATTGAAGTCCTATGGAAACTGGTTCAAATATAAAAATTGATGATTTTGGAAAATGTGCTTTTAGAAAATACTCCGGGTTAACGTGTTTGTTATGTATAATAAATCCACTCGGATAATTTTAATCACTCATAAGTTAATTTATTTTTTATTAATTAAATCGATTATTTATAAATTTCGGGAAGTTCATGTAACTTTCAAGGCAAAATACCAATACCAACCAGTTACAATATTTTCTGTATCTTTTTATTAACATTAATTTTTGACCAACGCTTCATTGTCAGGATCTAGAATTGTGGTATACTACAAAAAGTCATGTTTTTGCATCGCGTTTTGCATTTCCATTCGAGCCATTAATTTACTCACCCCTTCTGGTGGGTCGCAGTCCTTCTCCTCCCCAGTGCAGACATCGGTTTGCTGTAGGGATGGAGGCCTCGGTTTGCCTGCACGGCAATGCTTCATTGCTCCACGACGCCGATATCTAGAAATGATCGATTGAAATATTGCATATTGAGTTTGTTTTATATTCATGGTAAAAATTGTCACATCGAACTTTACATATAACATTATAAATACATGCATACATGTTTTCAATATATAATGTGGTGAAAAATAACTTCTGATATTTATAAGGAAACGTCGACAACTATGTGATATATGACAGCATCGGAAAGAAAATAACTGTCGCAGTATTGGAACAGGTATGTTCGTTTTTGAAAAAGCTATTTTACTGACGTTATTTATAGTTGTGTATATTTTGAATTATGTGATATTTATTTACCTATGTCAAATTTTTAATGCAGTTGCCTTATACAAATTATAGAATTCAAATAAGAAAAATTACTTGCAATGCATTGATTTGGATTTAGTTGTATATATAGACACCAAATATTGAGAATATTTTTGTTTATATATATATATATATATATATATGTGTGTGTGTGTTATATATTTTACCTTCGAGACCGCATCTTATTTCCGGGGCCACATTTCGCGCTGCATGACGACCAATCAGACCAAGGTGTCAATGCACATTCACCGGTACTATATTCGTCATCAGCCTCCAAAGATTGTTGCAAATGATTAGATTGGGCAACACCTCCCTCATTGCTGCAAAATACAAATAAAACAGCGGAAGATTCCGATTTCAATGTGGGTTCTTCAAACATATTGTAAAAATGTAATTTAGTTCTTTGTACATATAACATATAATATTTATGTTATAAACATAATTAAATCTTAAAAACATACAGAATAAGCTCAGTCAGTAGTCAAAACAAAAATAAACAAATTAATCAAATATATAACAAAATAAATTGTACATTTCCACAATAAAGATACTTATTTGAAAATTCTTAATCTAAGTACAACTGCTTAATGCATAAGCAAAATTGATTCTATTTAATCATAATCAATACATAGTTTTATATATTTCATTACTTTAGAAATTTAATCAATTAATATTAATTTAAAGAATATTTGCTTTAAAATATTATAGAATTTGAAGCGTGAAGTAAGAAATTGTGCATTGCCGTTTTTTTCAAAAATGCGTATATAAGTAAATTGATTTTTTATATTTAATAATTTTTTTTTATCAGTATAACTCAAGCCCAGCTACGTATTTCAATAATTAGCTTCTAATCATATCAGTGAAAAATCGCTATTTATAAACATAAATACATGTTACAGAACTAGTATTATTTATTGAATCCACCAAACTGATAACAATTAACATTCAATTAATTTGAAAGTAGTAAAACAAACGTATAAACTTAACTAAAATTATTAACAATAAAATAAAAACAATTATAACACTAAATCTTGCCAAAAATGCCTACTAGTAATTGATATTATATAAGAAATAGTAAATAAATACAAATTATAGATGATTAAATCTAAGCTTATATTTATATATATATATATACATATATGTATATATATATATATATATATATATATACACTTCCCTGCAAAAGTTTGGACTCACTTAGGAAAATCTTTGTCTTTTTTATTCATCACTTTATTCATTATTCTCAAACAGTTCAATGTAACAGAATTGTTGAGGATTACATTCAATTTACGATTTAAAAACATTTACATGTGATATTTTTTAATTTTTGTCGAAAAAACGAAAAAAAATCAATCCAACCGTTTTTTATCAATATGTTGGCCTTTCGATTTGAAGTCATTGGCGAGCGTTTTTAAATTATGATGCATCGAGTAAATGTTAATTTGAGTTCAAAAAAATAGTTAATGCAATTCAAAGTGATAATTTGTAACATTGTAAATTTTACAATATTTCGAAAATTAACATATTTCTGTACAATAAATAAATGAGAATTTAAACAAAATGCTCAAAAGTCATTCTTAAATTTTTTTTTATATAAATACGTATGTTAAACTGTCTGAAAGAGTACGATAAATAAAATGATGAATAAAAAAGACAACGATTTTTCTAAGTGAGTCCAAACTTTTGCAGGGTAATATATATATATATATATATATATATATATGTATGTATGTATGTATATATATAAACAAACTTAAAAAAATATTGTAAAAAGCTAACACAAATATTATCTATAGCGTTAATCATTGCAAGTAGACATAATAAATTAAATCAATTCATAATGTAAAATACGTGTTGACCCAAAAAACTATGTATCCTGATATACGATATACGTACGATTTAGTATGTCATGAATTAATTTCAAATTTATTAGAGTAGAACCTCATTTATCCGAACCTCAGTTATACGGATTCGCGATTATCCGGATTACTAACCGAGTATTAGTATATGTATGTAATGTAAACTAAAAAATACGTATGTAAATACATAAAGACGTGTTAATTTCCTGGATATCAATATATGTAATTGTTGTTTTTAATAAATACACAACATTATTCTTCATACATTCGGTTATCTGGATTTTCGATTATCCGAATGCCCATCGACAAAAATTAGTCCGGTTAATCGAGATTCTACTGTACTAGTGAAAACACAAGATATTCATTAATCAAATGTATCTATATTACTTAAAAATTAACAATCCTTTCTATCTACTTTTTATCACAATGTCGTCATAATATTAGTATCTAGTATGTTGTTTACGGTTACGGTCCGCTTACCTGCAATCTTGTACCCAGCACGAATTGCGGTCTGTCAGTTTCCGTTTGCAGGACATGATCTCGGCTTTGGCCTCGTCTCGGTAATAGCGCTGCCTGCGCCGCACGCCTTTGCCGCAGGTCACGCTGCACTCGGACCAGGGAAGCCAGCTGGTCACGGCACATGCACCAGAAGGGTCGTCGTCTTCTTCTGGAAAAAGAGGTAAAGGATATATATGATTAGAAATTTATTTCAAAATTTAGTTAAATTCTGTGTGAAATTGATGAGAAGCCTTAGCGAAGGAGTGCATTTTTCTCACTTCTGTAAAATAAATGAATGAGTATCTAAAGAAATCGCTCAAAAATCATTCTTAAAATGTTTTTCTATATCAATATGTACATCAAATTGTCTGAGGAAAACGATAAATAAAGTGACGAATAAAAATACAACGATTTTCCTAAGTGAGCTTCAATATCACATATGCATGATTACTATCGCGTTATTGGATTATCCGCTTTGCTATTAGAAAATTCATACTAATACCTTCAACACTCCTTCTGTTCGCCATATTTTGACAACTAAAGCCAAACCTACAGTTTCCTAAAATATCACGTGTATGGCGGCATTCAATTTTTTAGAATATTTACAATGTCGCGACATTCCTTCGTTACATTCTTCTTCATTTCTTTGTTAACTTCACGTGGAGTAAGTTAAAGTAACCGCAAAAAAATCGAAAATGAAAAATTCTATATATCTTTACGTTTTAGAGGTTTCTGAACATTTTGGCATGCCTTAGAAAAAATGGATGTATGTGTGTGTGTAATTCTTGTAAAGGCAGATCCAGCGTCTGCGAAGATCTAATAAAAAAGAGTAAAAAATAATGCCATTTGGCAATCAAAAATGAACATTAGACATATGTACTTCGTATTTCAGATATTTTATATAGATTATAATAATAAGTACAAGTGTGTACATTTATATGGGTTTCGCAGCACTTACGCGATTTGATATTTCGACTCCAAATCAGCCATGCAGCGCGATCGCTCAAAAAAATGTTCACAATTTTCAAAAAAATCAGAATGCAAAAAAATCTAATTTTTTTCATTTCAAGTCATTTTTTTTTAAATTAAAAAAAATCACAAAAATAAAATTGTTTTAAAGTTCTGCAAAGTTTTTTTTAAAAAATTTTGTTTTCGGTACGAAAATTTCCAATAATTTGCCTTGAGGCACGATGCCCTGCACCACTAGTTTCATTATTTCAATTGATTAAATTTGCATTTACTTTATACTCTAGCATTCTTATTTATTTAAGGTTGAAAATTTATTAATTTCCCAGAGGAAAAGTATGTTTTGCAAAAATATTCGATTTGCTACTTTTATGTTTTCTTGACGTTTCAAGTCATTCTGAATCGAATGAGACTAAATTGTATCGAATGAGAAAAAGTGTGTGTCTGTGTTCGACCTTTCGCCAAGGTTTTCTCAAAAACCATTGGACTAATTTCAAATATTCAAAAACCATCCTTTGGAGCTCGATAAGGACTAGAGTTGGTCAGTTTTGTGCCTCGATCAGCCAAGCCGTTTCGTTCTTTTTTGCAGAAAAGCGTAAAATCTTTCTTCCACGTTTTAACCAACAATCAATTTTAAAAATTCAAAAACTGTTCGAAAGATATTGCTTGCGAATTGCGTTCATTAGTTTTTGGTACAGATCGGCCGAGCCGTTTCTTCGTAATTAAATATTAAATAAATTTTTTTTTTGAGTTTGATAAAACTTTGTATAACTATATATTTCGTAATAAGCGGTTAAATTATAAAAATTCATCAAAATCTCAAACTTCCTCGCGCGCTTAAGCGATTCTAATCAGAATCCTATACTGATTACAGCTTACGTCCGCACATAAAAAAATACAATTTTTGAAACCGAAACGGATGAAATGAAATATGTTAATTGTACAAATTTATTCATACAATTACAGATATTAAAGTATGTTTGGACATCAATTGAAAATTGCTTTGATTACTTTTTAGTGAAAGCAAAGATTTTATTTTCGAAATAACCAGATGGAACATTTAACCTAAATCGCTGGATCTCAATTCTTTGGCTGCTTACAACTAGATAAATATTGCAATAAGTCCCTTTGTGTGAATTATTTGAATAAAACAAATTCTACGTCGTATATTTACAACCTCCTATAATTAAAACTAGACTTCTTCAGTAATTTGAAGATAGCATTTCTGTCCTACAAGCTTCTTTTACGGAAGCGTTTGAAGTCACCAGGCTGACAGCAAATGTACAATATAATGCATATGACTAATTACAGTGCAAAGGAGCTCAGGACATTAATCATAGTTAGTTTACGCGCCGGCTATTTCAGGGAGAAAATGGAAGCACAATGGTCTTTACCAATGGGCAACACGATATCTTCCGCACGGAGAGACTGGTCTAATAATATTAGTAGAATTTAATCCTACATGCTCTTATATTACTATATTATATATGAATCACTAGAAAATGAATACTTCATTGGAAATCTTGCACGTTAATTTCTAAAGCGCATACCTAGATTCAACACTCTAACTATTTGTAAATAAATTTTGTTAATATTTTCAGCACCACTTGTACATACTTATTTACATATTTATATCATTTAGTATCGTGGTTACATGCTTTGAAAAGATGTATCATTTACTATCTGGATGAAAAATAGTACATTGTATCTCAAAAGTTACAAATTATGTTTCATATAACCAGCATCTTCCAGAGCTAAACAACTGCATTTCATTATAAATTTACGCCGTATCCATTTCTCTTGGGTCATTTATAATTTTCTGCCCGGAAGACTTTGTTCTCATTTTTAATTTATTAAAAAACTTAAAAGTTTTGTAATGCAACTCTCAGGTGAACTTTTTGTTAGATATTCATCATAAACTTCAAGAGCAAAAGCACTTCAACTACTACAGTTTTCGAAATCTTTTTGTGTATAAATCTTTTTACACAACGGGGTAAAAAGTTAGTTTGTAGTTTGATTGAGATTTTAAACTCATATAATGATATCTTTGTTTTGAATAACATCATTGTACACCATAATTAGTAGATATATCAGTTTCTGCCTTATTTATACATGTAATTCTGTTATTTATTTACGATTTTACGGAAAATGTGTCAGTGTTTATATCGCCAATAAAAAAGATATAATTCTTACCTTTTCAATACAGATTCCTTAAACGTTTATTGAAGAGCGAAATGATATTGCCCTGGGGTACATAATATGAATAAATATATCTTGTGAATTTTATTACAACCCCACTTTTCAGAGCATAATATAAATACATTTATCGATATCAAAATACAATGTATAAAATGAAATATTTTCCGAATCATAAAGCGTTTAAGAGCTATAAAGCATTGGTTCATTTATACAATTTTATTGCAATAATAAAATATTATTTTTTCGTATGATGGTTTCATATAATTTGTAAAATTTTTTATTTAAACTAATATTATTTAATGACTTTAGAGCGTTCTTGAACTAATAAAATGACATGATATTCGTACATATTAAATATATTTTTATAAGCAGTATTGAAAATAATAAAAGACTATAAACACCACATCTTATGTATACTAAATATTTACAGAAAGTGATATCAATTTAATATCAATTTTTTTTTTAATTATTGATACTATTAATTTCATATTATGAAATTTTTTTATTATTATTTTAAATTTATTCTAAATTAAATTATATCACAAGAATTGAAAAACGTTTGCTATTGCTTTTATAATTGATGGAAAATTATTTTTTTTGACAGAATCAAAAACAAATACTTCCACAGTATTAATTAAAAGAGAAAAGCGACCAGACCATTTTTTTATTTATATTTGACTATGGTTGGCTTTAATAATATCATCTTACTCTTTGAAACATCAAAGCCCGAAATAATATACACCAACACCCATTATTATGTCAAAAACAGATTCTAACAGTTCCCCAAACCACTTGAGCAATTCGCCCTGACATTAACGTGAAGCGAATTGATTCAAATGCTCAAGACGAATACAAGTAATTTATATCCGGAATAAATATAAATTAGAAGACGTATTCCATCTGAGGGAATAATTCGTTTTGAGCTGAAACGAGATATGTCAAGTTGACGTCCTGACGGGCGGTTGCCTATTCATTATTCCATTATCCGGGAGCATTTATTTGTGCCGGGACGACCTATTTTTAAAAGTCTTGTCAACGGATAAATGATAATAATTACTGAAAATGTCATGGTAATAAATGATATTTTGAAAATACAGCTTAATGTAATGCGTTTTAGTTTTATGCTTCTTCAATTATTTTATAGATGAATTCAATATAAAAATTGGGTTTTCATGTAACCAATTGTAATATGTAGTATTTCCCTAGGGCAGGTTAGTGAGCTGAATTAAACTTCCACTTGATTCAGAAATGAATGGTGTGGGAGATTTTTAATTACCATTTTACACCGCAATGCCTGAAATAGACTATATTTTCAAGTAAAAATGGACATTGCTACTGCACGATATCAGGTTGTCCAGAGAGAAGGCTCAAACTCGCAACCCTGTCGCGCGGTAAACCATGACCCCATAGAACACCCTGTGATATGTAAATCTTGTATATAAAATTCCTCTATAACGATGTATGTAAATATACTCCTAAACGATTATTATGATTTTGATAAATCTTTCTGAAGTTTGTTAAGGGAATTTTTTATTTGTTAAGGAAAATTGCAAAAACAACATATCATTGTTTGACATCGAAAACATTTTGATACATGAGAACCGTCACCTACCAAAAATGTCGATTGCCTTGAAATTTGATATTAGTTTAAGCAAGCCTAGACAATATTAGTATATAATATCCATATTCATGATTATGAATAAGAAAAATGCAATATCTACATTATTATTGCCAAAAATCAGCTGAGATGTGCCAGAAATTAAAACATTATAAGATATAATATAATATGATGTTTGGCAGATGAATTTATACAATTTAGTTCAATAAAAAACACAATACGTCCAAAAGTGCATATACATTATATTAGCTAAGTTGTCAAATTTGATAATAACTTTTGATAATAACAATCGTATTATGTTTTATATAAATTAACAAAAGGTAAGTATATTTCTCGGAATAAAAAATGTTATTAAACAAATTAGTTAATTACATTGTATAGCATTTTTATCTCACTATCCAAATTTTGCTGCCCCCGAAAATCTGCCGCCCTGGGCAGTAGTCCCGACTGCCCCTACTGTAAATCCAGCACTGTATATATATATATATATATATATATATATAAATAGTTTGAACTTATTTCTTATTTAATTATTTTCATATGAATTCGAAATATTATGTAACGTTTCCAACCAGAGATAGTATTATACCTCTATCCCACGAATTCCGCTTGATGTTTCAAAGTTCAAGAATGCCTTCCCTTTGACCACAGAAATGTTATCATCAACGATTCCACCATACCTGGTATGTTGTCCACGCTGTTCTCGCAAGCCTTCTCGTAGAGTCTTTGTCTTGCCAAGTGCAGACGGGCGAGCGGTTTCATTTCTCCTCCAGACGGGTCGTAGAAGGGCGATCGCGGGTCATTCGGGTAGTTGGCGCGGATGCGCCGGATCACGTCCCGCGGATTCGTCGGCTGATCCGGAGACTGAAACAGGTCATAACACGAGCTTTTAGAAATTCAGATCTGCTACACTCGGTGTTGGGGAAACAACAAATTTGCTGATATTTCAATGGCATGTAAAACAGAGGAAATATTTTACGAAATAAAGCAAGGTGTTGTAAAAATGTATATACCACACAGGGAAAAATGAGAATTTATTAGTGTAACTTTATGGTTTATATAGTTGCGCACATCACATTTATCAATGAAAATTAATATATTTAAATCATACAATTGTATGAAAAAGCTATTAAAATATCTGTATTTTTGAAATTAACCGACACTAAATATGTTATCATTCGGTTGTGACATGTTATCCTAGTCCAGTGTTTTGAGCTCAAATTAGGTAAGAATCTCGGAATGAACTATAAGTATGTAAATACTTGTATTTTGTACCCTAAAAGTTGTCATATGATAGGGTGTACGCAACATATGTAGGTTTTGAGACAACTTTTAGAGTGCAAAATACAAGTATTTATAGACATACATCTGGGTATCTCGAATTCCGAGTTGAACTTAATAAGAAAAATGCAATATCTACAATATTATTGCTGTTATCCAGCTGAGATGTGCCAGAAATTAAAACAATATAAGATACATTATATGATGTTTGGCAGATGAAATTATATAATTTAGTTTAATAAATAAAACAATACGTCAAAAATTGCGTATACATTATTACTTTAAAGTTACGCATGCTGTATTTTGTTTACTGTTGCAATGAAAATGACTTACTATAATGTTTATCTATGGTTTTAAATATGTGGGTTTGAGGACTAGTCTTACTTTGGCAGATTTACCATTAAAACTTGTAGAAAATACTATGCAAGCCTCATACCTACTGTCTAGGCCATTATATATTATAGTATATAGATCATACAGTCATTCAATCATGAAATCATAAAATTTACTAAAAAAATTTTACTTTTACACATGAATCACTATATATGTAGATTTCCATATAATCTATATATATATAGTTTAGTTTATAGTTTATAGTTTGACAAAAAAGCTCAAATATGAATTTCACCTGTATATATAATTGGATCTTTATTTTTTTTTAGAAATAAATTTATTGGAATTTCTACAGTTACATAAAGATCATTATACAGTCATGTTCTTTTTTATCCATTTCATGTCATGCAACTTTTGAATTTTTTAAAAATGCATATATGAGAAATTCTATCACAAAAACTAGTGTACGGTATCGTGCCTTAGGGCAAATTGCTAGAACTTTCCGCACCGTAATTTAAAATATTTAATAACTTAATTTTTTTTTGGCAATTTTGAAACTTCTGAAAAAAAAAGATTCAATTAAAATATTTATTAGATACATATATAATGAATATATATTATTTCTTTATATTTTGTTTATTTTGAGAATTTGCTTAGCAGTTTTAGAGATAAAATATCAAAGCGATAAATTAATTACAAAACTTGGTACGAAACCCATGCAAATGTAAACAAAATTTGTACTTATTATTAAAATATCTGTAAAATATCTGACAATTTGATGTGCACATGTCCAATGATCATTTTTAAGCGACAAAAAGGCTTTTTCTAAAAAATCATCAATTCTTCATTTCGTCAACACAAGTAACGGTTTTTGAAATCGGACGTTGTAATATAGTTCATTTGGTTTAGACTATATAGTATATATTTTAATATCATTCTTAGTAGATTTATTATTTAATTTTTATTTAATTTGATCTATTAAGTTTTCAAAATGAGTAATGAAAATATGAAGAAAACTATTACTAATACAAGTTCTACATATTAAAAATCTTAAGTTTAATGCAGAGCAAAGTTTCTCTTAAAAACTGAATTACCATTTTTGGTGCTTTCTATCCCGTATCTTCAAAACGACTGGACCTGCCTTGGTCAAAAACTAATCAACACGTCTTTTGAATCAGTCAAATCGGTTGATCCGTGTTCTCGAAATCATCGACGATACAAACATACATACATACGCACACACATATATACATCCATTTTTTCTAAGGTACATTTGGTGAGAAATTTTGCTTTTTGGCGTTGTATTTATACTAATATTTTTTACATCTCTAAGAATAATGTAGATTCAATATATTTTTATGAAAAATAATTCTCGCTATAAAAGTGACAAAAGCAAGATATAAATCGTAAAATGTATGATATAATACAGCGTTTTATTCATCCGAGAATTAAAGACCATATCAATTTTAATGTGTTTTTCTGTTTTATCTGTATTTCACAGATATATATTCCGTACAATGTTTTATCTACAAAAAATTTGTTTTGCACCGCTGTGTATGATGGAAAACAAACCAGACCGACAATGCGCTGTAAATTATTAACTATTTTTTCGTGGAGCTTTACGATTTATTCTGATAATATAAATGCTCTCCAAAATACAGGAATATTGTAGTGTAAGAGGTAGTATACTATCATACTCATATCGAAAAAAATAAAATATTCAATAATTTTATAAACAAACACACTTGCATATAATATATTATAAAGTTTACTTTCATAAACAGATTGTATCAACAAAAGATTTTTTTTGTGTTTAATCGAATTTTTTAATTTTAATTTTTTGCTAGAAATTTTTATAATAAAACAAAAAAATATTTTACCATTTTACATTCCTGATCAAATACGCAAACTTTTGATGAAACTTGCTTGCACACTTCAGTACATTTTTTTCAAGCGAGCTTCTCAAAGTGGACCGAGTATTTCAAATAAAAATTTTAAATTCACTGTTTAACAAATAGTCTCAACTCTAACATACTAGGTGCGATTGAGCAATCAATTTTGACTGTGGTTCTGAATATGTTATTTAAGATTACAGATTCAAAGTTTATATGAACAAAAATTAATAAAAATTTACGCCAATAACCGAAAAAATCAGAGTTCTACCAATGCTCTAGGTGGCGCTTAAAAGCTCAACATTTTTAAACTACAGTAGGTGCATCTATCACCTCATTTTGGTTTGACATTGAATTCTGGGATACCTTGCATATATATATATATATATATATATATATATATATATATATGATATTCAATGCGATGCTAATATAATTAGTTTTGAAATTTTTTATTATAAATGAACAATATCAGTTTCCTAACTTATAAATAAATTGGCATTTTTTTATGTTTTTATATAATTTCTAATTAGATCACAATTTATATAATTAAGATACATAATAACTCAGATAAATTAGGTACATAATTAGGTTTTATGCATTATTTTACTTGAAATTTTTCTTCTATTTCATTTATAAAAATAGAAGAGCATAGACCACTCAGGCTTTTAGTAAAACAAGAAACAACTTTTAGAGCTAGAGCAGATTATTTGCTGCTATTTAAATACTGATATAAATTATTAGGTATATTGAAGTTTGACAACATTATTTAGTGAAAATTTTATTATATTCTCAACATATCACAGACTGCTCCGATTTGTAGGATGACCACTCTGGCTACCAACTTCTCATACATAATTTTAGGAGAAACATTACTTTAATTTTAATACTTCAGTTGCAATGTTTATAACTTTATCTCATGAAATCGCACTCTAATATGTATAATTACCCAAACAGCAGTATTATTGAGTAATATTGTCAAATATATCAAAAGCAGCAATAATGATGCACTTTGGTTTTTCGTAAAACAAGAAACAACTTTTAGAGCCAGAACAGATTTTTTGTGGTCATTTAACTACAGATTTAAATATTATGTATGTTGAAGTTTGGCAACATTATTTAGTTAAAATTTTATCATATCCTCAGCATATCATAGATTTGTGGAATGGAAACTGGTTACCAACTCCTCATATATAATTTTAGATGTACTTTATTTAATACTTCAGTTGCAATGTTTATAACTCTATCTTATGAAATCGCACTCTAACGTGTATAATTACCCAAACAACAGTGTTATTGAGTATTATTGTCAAATATAACATTAATGACGCATTCCGTTACGATTGAAGCGAAGTAATTATCTAAATTCAGCCGAACGGATGAATCTATTGTAGTTGCACACGCTTCCATAAAACTTCGCAATAATCGCTCTGAGCCACCCCCGCACGTATGATCTGTACAAAACATTTTCCAGTGTACGCATACAACTCAAATACATCTATGATATATTGCAGAATAACGGGTTGCATGCAAAATACGTAATTCCTTTGTTAATCCGTTGCGCGCCCAAATTGGGTCGACGAGGTATTCACGTACACAGCAACAACGCTATGAGAGGCAGAGAGGACGCTGAACTGAAACCGTGTTATAAAACTACGGAAAACGATATCAACCGGGGGTAGTAGTTCAATGAGGGGTAGGAGTCAAGAATTAAATACATTCGAAAGAAGTAAATATATTATCCGTAGCAATGAGGTCGTTGGTAGTTCACAATGAGTTGACGCGATGACATGAAAAATATAAATGCAATTGTAGTTTGACTCACATTTTATGATTAACTCCCCGTAGGGTAGGTTATAGTAATCGCAAAAAAATCGAAAATCGAATTCTTTACGTTTCAGAAGTTTCAGAACATTTTGGCAAAATTTTTCAACAAATGTATCAAAAATAGTTTTAACAATTGAAAATGGTCCATTAACATGTTCATGGACGTAAAAGGAATAGCAATAATTTTCATTGTGATACATAAGACATGAACGCTATAGCATTCAAATTCTAAAATCAATTAGCATGAATTTAATTTTATATAACCTTACGTTTTTGTAATTAGTTTACATGCCAAGGTAATGACTAACTGGTTCTATAGGTATTTTTTCCCGTACTCTTGGCAAGCAAATTGCGTAAAATAGAAGTAGAATACTTGACGTGGATGCTATAGCATTCAACGTATATATTATGCAAATCATACTAACCTTACAAACGGTGCTTAATCAAATTTCGGATATTTTATTTTAAAATTTAAAAATAGAACGACTATCAATGTTTGCATCTTGCTGTAGCTGTTGCTGGCTGCAAATG